TGTAATAAACATCCTGTTTGCCGATTGCAATTGAAGCACAAAGCGAAATTTGTATGCAAATGCGTTTTGATAACATGTGCACACGGAGTTACCTTTAACGCGCCCCACATTTTACATTGGAGGGTTGCTTTTTGTTTTCTTTTTTATTGTTATTTTGCTCTTTTAACTCCCGGCTACTTGTACGCCCTCGTTCGGTCAATGTGGCAGAGTTTATGAAAATGCAAATGCAAATTTTGCTTCTCGTTGATTAATAGTTGGGTGCGCACACGCTCGTCATGCGCGCACAGTGCATATGCTTTTCGTAGACGGAATTCGCAAATCGCGCAAAATTATGCATATCAATTAAGATTGCGGCGCATGTTGCACCATCTCAAGCAGAACGCGTGCGGTGTGCACCTTGATTATTATTTCTAAACAATTTCCGGGAGTTGCAAAGTGTGCGCTGCCACAACAAACTCAAACTGATGTAAGTTCATTCTCAGGCAACCAAGAGGAAGAAGAAGAAGGTCTTCATCAACGTAAACATTGAAATATTAACGCGAATTTAATCAAGTTGAATTTTAAAAGAATCGACATTCAAAAAGTAAAGATATCAAATAATACCTATAATTTAATTAAATTTCAGTGAGCAAATGTTGAAGAAGAGCGCAGGTATTTTGCATCTGACAAATATTGAAATCCACAGGAGCGACAGTTATTGCTGAAAGTTAATTAACGTTGTTAATAAAATTGAACACGTAAATTAAAAATGACTAATTGACAATAATGAACAAGATGAAGGCCACATCAAGAGTTGCCAACAATAACAGGGCTTAATATTCAATTTTGCATCAATGAACAAGACGATGTTAATATATTCAGATAAATATATAGCTTAATTCGCATTTTGGAAAATGAATGTTAAGTCCACGGCGATATTTTCGTTGATTGTTTTCCACACAGACGTGTGTGAATAATTTTTCAACTTCGGAGCATCAACCGACGCCTCGACCGCCACACTAAATCCTGCCGCATTAGAAAACACAAATATGTAAAACACATTCCATGTGTACGCCATGAAACGTCAAGCAACACAAAACATTGGAAACGAGGTATAATTAATGATGAGGATTAATATTTGAAAAGATGAATAAATTATAATGCAAATTAATTAAGATTACAAAATACAGGTGTGATGTGTATAAATATGCATTAGGTACATATTTGGAATGAGCGTAGTTTGTCAAAATAATGTATACAGGCACTTTGAATTGTATTTTTTAAGTGAAGTTGAATACAAATGCCATCAAATTTAAAAGATTCGACAATAAAAACAGATGTGAAAATTTTGCTTGTATTCAATTGTCCACCCTTAAATAAGAAAATTTTCGTATCTAAACAGTACTATTCTAGAAGTAGTACTATTCCAAAAGTGTGTTTTTTATAGTGTTGTATGCGGCAGGCGTAATTCAATATATCGAAATGGTGTTTGGTTTTTGGCACGGTTTATGATCACAGTGTTCATTGAATTAAAATAATGGCAGCCGGAGCAGAGCGCGTCAGCCCTGCGGAGGCTTCGGAGTGCCAGAGCGAAAAATAAAAGCGCACATCAAAAGACAAGCCGGTACGCAACTCCGACATTACTGTGATGAGCAAAGCGGCACCAAACCACTAGCTCCGTAAAGAAAAGCAATTTTATAAACTTGACACTCACAATATGCTTGATAGAATTCAACTACTACGTGCCACGACAATATGTTTCCACTAAAACTTACCAAACTTCATTTTTTGGCGCAAAACTGTGAAATTAATTAATGCACCGCCGTAATTTCGGAGAGACTCTGGTTTCCGTTGAAATCGGTGTGTGCGGTGTACGTATCAACCTATGTGCTGGCCCCTTGGTATTCAAGTTATTGTAAATTTAAATATCACCGACCGCTGTAGTTTTGTCCTCTCCTCGATGCACGCTCCGGTTACTTGTGGTTACAAATGTAGCCATGCGAAAAGAAGCCTATTGTTGTTGTGTGCAGTTCAAGTTTAAATGCAAACTGAAATGTAATTTAACAATTAGAATTTTATGTGTGTGAACAGTGAGAGTTCGACTGCAAAGAGGCCAACGATGTACGCTTACACCCCAAGAGAATGGACACACACACACTCACCTAGCTATCTACGGGTATTTTTCGAGATGTTTAGGTACAAACAAAACGTTTTTACGACCACAAGATATGTGTGGCTATATCCAATGAAAAGGGTGGTAGTACACTTCTTTCAATGCTACAACGTCGCCTGATGGCACTTCATTTTCGCTGCACGGTAATAAAATAATTTGTGACGGATTTTTTTAAATGTGATACACTTTAACAACACGTAGTGACGAAGGGCCCGTCGTCCTATTAAAACGGACTAAAAGTAATTTTTATATTAATAGTAGAAAGTCTACGGTACAAGATTCTTTAAACCGGCAGTATTTCAGCCTATTCGAATACTACTCGAAGACGTTTATAACATAATAACGCGAATTTAGTTGTAGTATCTTTTTTATATAGGGTGGGTGCACCAGTGCCGCACCAGGCACCAGTAGTGCACCATTTCCACTTTCACATTAAAATATTAACGTTCTGTCGAATTTTCCGCCACTTTTTTTATATTTGATAGAACTGCCGTACTTCTACGAATCATATAATCGTAAAAAAAACCGACAAATTCGCCATCCACATCAGTTTTTAAAGCAAAATGCGTAACAACAATCGTGCACTTCGTTTCGAGCGGCCATTCTAATAAGCGACACGTCGACGGAAAGTTTTCTTAATTCTGTTTAAATCTTTGTTTATATCAATTTCTGTAACCGCTTTTCTAATCAATTGCGTACTATGGACTGTGAAGCATTAATATTACGTTTTATTTAATCTGAAAATGCTAATTTAAATCAATAATTGCCATTGGTAAACTACTGGAACACGAATTGAATGATTTTCCAGTAATATACCATTTGGTCTACAACTGGTGATTTAGCTTTTGATATATTTTTCTTTTTTCTCTTACATGTTGGTTTACCTTATGTTGCAATAAGATATTATAACAAAAAGAATACCATTATTCACAATGTTCCAGTTGTAGACCAGTGGTTTACTACTGGTAGTATCCGTACCACGGATTTATTCCAGTAACTGACCACCTACATTTTTTTATACACAATGCCACCGAAAAGAACATTTTTAACTATAAGGAGAAATATGTGTTAAAAGCGATAAATGAAATAAATAAAGGTGCAAAATTGGAGAAATATGTCAAAATACAACATACCCCACACTACGGTCATAAATAAAATAAAGTTAAGTCAATAATAAATAATATTTTTTCCGAAGTACTTTCATGGTTTTCTATTTATTTTAATTTATTTTATATTAATTTTTGATTCATGTTAATTCATAAATATTGTGTTATAACTATGACACTTGTGTAAGTGATACAAATTTTTGTTAATTATCTAGTTCTTAAACTAGTTAACAACATTATGAGCCTTGTAGCATTTAAATATTACTTGAAACTTGTAGACTGATTAAAAGTTGTGATGATTACTACATAAAAGGAGTGGTTCACTATTGGCTCAACGTCTGGTCTACTGCTGGTACAGTCTGGTCAACCTTAGGCACATTGCGATTTTCCACATTTATTGTTAAATAACCAAAAACGTAACAGCTATTAAGAAAATTTGAATAAGCTACATGATTCTATGGTAGACAAGGAGTATGTAATCCTTTTTTGCAATGATTGTTGTAATAATTAAGTCACAATATCAAAATTACTTTCAAAATGTCGCTTAATTGGTTTGTTACTGGTGCAGTCACCCTACGTATATGAAAGTTTACAGGTAGAAGCCCTTAATGCGTACGGCAAGTGGGCGACTTCACACCTGTCGCTTTGACCACATCCGTTTCCGTTTCCAGACTGCACATCTCGGTTCGTTCAACAGCAATAATAACTATGTACTTGAATCTTCTCGAATGTATGCAGAATGCAAACATTTGCAGAGGTGGCTGCCACTGGAAGTAGAATAAAGTGAATAAATATAAAATTACGTCGGCACGGGCGTTAAAAAACTTTCTGATAAACCGAATTTGTCCGGTGCTAGAGCCAGTTACCCTTTCTGCCGGCAGCAGGGCGGCAGACTTTGAAGTTTTCGAAGGGGTGTAGACGGCAGGTACAGGGGCAAACGTCGTACAGATCTTTTTATGGAGCGCGCGAAAAACTTTCCGAGCTACTTACATAATAATAACTTTTACTTGCGCCGGTGGCGCGCACTGACAGACTTGGTGATAAATAACCTGATGGCAGCCGTCATTTCACCAACAATATTATAAAATAATGAAATAAGTTAATTCATGGTATGCAAAACTGTACCTGACCAATTTTATTTTTCCTATCATAAGCAATAATATCCGTATACATATTACACGCTATTAGAAACAACGTTTAATTATCATAGTACTACTTCACAAAAATACACAAAGTAGGTACTTATCGCAAGTATTAAATTTGCTAGTGCCAGGCAGTCTAGATCTATAGAAAATAACGTCAAAGGTCGATTGATCATTCGATGCACTCGCATCACATACGATAGCGATAAATTAACGTCGGCGTTTCGCAACATGTTTGATATTAATCATTAATTATGTGCTGTAAAAAGTTTAGTTGCAATTTTTATCGACAACGATAAACCGTGTATTTATTTTTCAAGCACGTATGTTCAACGTAAACACAAAAATATTCCATAGGTTTTTAATTCTGCAGATAGTTTGGGATATTTCTAATTAATTCAACGATAAAGTAGCGATAACTACGTGTGTTCTCGGAAGCGCACGGAGGCCACTGAGTCAGCCTGCGTAAATAGCGAACATATAGCATTTGCGAGCATCAGTCGAGCTAGCAATTCCATGAGGTGCTGCGCTCTGCAGGAGAAGCGGGCAACTATCGTGCTGAGTGGGGGCGCCTATATAAACAGCACTTTAGACGCGCAACCAGCAGTAGTCTTGTGTTTGCCATCCTTTAGTGGTGGGGCGATATGAGTACTGTTGCTAGTCCGAACTCGTAACTTTTCGTAAACACTTGCGAATCCGCGCGAAAATCGTTATCAGTGCAAAGGAAAAAATGTGCAATCAACGACCACTGAAATTATCAAAACCATCAAGGAGATAAACTGTAACAAAAAAAAAAAACAGGACTCGTTGTCTCCGAAATTTTAACAAGACAAAATTGATTAACTCGGAAAATTAAAGGCGAGAAAAATATCGTGTATACAATACACACAGGCGAGTTGGAAAAGTTTGAAGTCAGCCAGCGCGCGAGCAACACAGCACGCATCCAGCTTCATCAGCTGGTCGCGTTTTCGTCCAACTCCAGATTGCATCTGCACATGCGTTTCCCCCACCCGTGGGGATTGCTGTCGGCAGGAGGGGAATCAGCTGAGCAGAAGATACAAATTCATATTAGTCCGGCAGTGTCTGCATCCTTCAGTCGCGTTGTTATCGTCAGATTGTGTACAAGCGCGCTATGGTAGAGATAGGCTAGTGCAGTGCACTGCTAGTAGGGTTTAACAAATTGTCGTGAGACGTACTCGTTTTTAGTGTTGTGCGAACTTAACAATTTTTCCGGCTTGAGTGCGAGAACGAAACAGTGCTGTGCGCCGTAATATTTTTTCCGTTTTCTACTCGCGATACTTGTACGCAAAACTTTCAATTTGGATAATATGGTGCCGCAGAACATGGATTCTGGCCGTTCTGAGAGCCCAACCAGCAGTGGCCAGCCGCTGTTCGGTTCACAACTCGTCGACAAGGATTCAGCTACACCCTACTCTGATGCCACTCAGGTAGGTCAACTCATCTTTTTACAATTTGCGACTTCCGCCGGAATGTAAAAAAATTGACGTGCTGTAAATCAAGTGCTCGAAGTGTTGGCTATGCGTTGAATTGAAAACAAAAAAGGTGCGCATGGGAGTTTATAATTACACATTGCTCGGCTTGGCGACAAGTAGTCTACAAAATTCACAATACGTAATATACCTCGTCAGGAAACTTGGCGTTCATCATGTGCATGCACAGCTGATAACGTAATACTCGTGGGTACTTTTTTAAAAACTCGTGCCGCTACTTTTTGCGTGTTGTTATTTTTGGCCGAATCTTTGGGTGACAATTTTCACATGAAATACAATTTTAACGATGCAGAAAAAAGTGTACTAAATGTTGAAACACGTGAGAAAATATCAAGTGTGCAAATTAACGATTTGCGACGTCCAGTGTGCAATTTAATTACGTGGAAAATGCTCGGACTGGATGATGAATTTCTTGCACACTTTTAATTTAACGTTCTTGGCGCAGCAGCAAACATGGCCTGGCGAAAAGTTTTGTTGCCTCCAGCCTGCCAGAGTTCAAGTGCACACGACACGGCTCGAGACACGGTGCACGCCTCTCTAGCTCTTCGACTGCGACTATAAAAAACCCTTCAGGCTTTTCGTACTTTCGTACTTTATAATCATAATAATCGCAAAGCGTTTTGCGATTTTCAAATGCGCTACGTGCCGCGGCGCGTAAGTACAACTTGGCGTCGCGTTCGTTCCGCCGCCACACAGCCACATAAATTACGTTCGCTGTACGTACAGAGAATCAGCTGTAAGGTTCATGTTCGTTTCAAGGCTATGCGACCGCGACACATGAGTCAGTTAGTAGACGATACGAGTTTCGCTGGCTGCAATTTTATTACATTTGTGAGCTGCTCATACTCTATATATACATCAACATGGATACTTATTTGTATCGAGCGCCTCATATGCTTATCTATGATTATCAGATCTAAAAATGCATCCGATATATAATAAATATAAATATCTCCCATAGAAACAACACTAGATAAAATTGGCGAATAAAATTAGCAGCTTTAAGTGGGCAATTTTTTACTAATAAAGTGCAATGAAGTTAGGGTATAAGTGATTGAGTGCAGGATTTTCATAGCTTACACAAAATAAGGCGAATATGTACTCGTAGGAGTGCTCCTCACTACTTGTGGAATACCGAAGTACTTTACATCGCGTCTCGCCACTTTCCTCCACCAATTTCAGCGTGTAGGTACTGGTATTTATTGTCTGGCGAGGAACTTTTCGTCGACGACGATTGTTGTGTGTGCGCAGCAGAACGGCGAGATCCCATCCGTTTCTATGGTGTAATCGAAAAAATTACAGACTTAAACGCTTTTTTCCAGTTCAATAATTACGCGCACAATGCGACGCGCCGGGTCAATGTGATAATTGACATCGCGCCTGTGTGCGGCTGGCTAGTAGCCGGCAAATTAAAACCACACAATTCGGTAAATATACACACGAAATTGAAACACATTTCCCTACCTTATCGTGCGCGGAGCATCCACAATCCGCTAAGCAATTAATTCAGCTTAGGCCGCGTTTAGATTTTTTTTTCGTTCAAAAACGTTTAAAATCATGTTAGCTGGTAGCCAAGGCATGAAATAATTAAATAAGCATTAAGCCCGGTAGCTGCGCCCTGCTCACACATTGTGAAGTTTGTGAGCCGATTCAATCAACACTACGCGCCAACATTGTCGTAAAAGTACTTTCGGCTTCGAATGTGCGTTGCCTTCGTACGAATGAGTACCCTTGAAACCCACACTCACATACATACGCAACCATTAGTACTCCATAAAAATTACAACAAACAAAACTGCTGCTGGTAGTTGAATGTTGTGAAATTCAGTGTATGCTTCCGCTAAGGAAGCGATAGTGGTATCGAGCCGCATTGATGATCGCGTTTTAAAAACATTATTACTACAACATTCTTTATCTGTTTACACTCATTACATTCTGATATAATATACATATATTCCTATGTTCGTGTGCACTCAAAACAAAACTTAATATTTATTGGCGCATGCAACCTTGTAGAAATTAATTCTCTTCAGTCGGCACGTTTACAAGCCTTCATTCGTTATAAACTTAGGGTCATATGCTTTTTTTATTTTAAGCGAGAGTCTAGCTCTGGGAGCAAACGGCGAACGTCGTTGCACAACGGCGTGAACAGCGCTCGTTTAGTTTTGATGATGGTGCACCTGTACTTTTATTATTAATGCCATAATGGGATTTGACATAGCCCCAGCCGAACATTCGAAAGCTTTTCAGATAGCGGGTGAGAAGAGGAGGGTCTCCGGTGCTCAAAGGTCGTCTGCTACGTATATCCGTATAAGCTTGTTCTGTATATTCATTATTTATTTCCATGGTTAATTTTTGGCGCCGCACTGGTCAGCTGTTTGGGCGGTGCGTGCTCAGCATTTTTGGGTATGTGTTTTATCTGCTACACACGCTCTGCCGTCACGATCAAAGTGGATATTCGTATTGCGACGTAGTATCCTAAGTGCGTAGATGTAGATGCGTGGTGGTATCGTGGTGCAAAATGAAAATCGATGCGAACAATTTAGTCGAGATTAGAGTTTAGCCTGTGAGCGCGAGAGCTAATCGAGCCCCTCTGGTTGGAAGCTGGTTTGATGGGCGGCTGCTGCCGCCGCCGGACTGCTCCTGCTACGGCACTTTTAATTACCCTAACGACTGGACTAACGGCTTCCGTTAATCCGATTATATTGCGCCCGGCACATTATCATTCTAATCGCCGGCTGTCCTTTGCCTTATCAGTGCGGCTGGTGCCCGAGACCACCGCTTCTCGTATATAATCGGCCGCTGCATGCGGAACTGCGCCGCCGACTATCATGGTCGCTTTTGCAATATGCGCCGTGGACATATTCTGGGGCCTCGGGCAGTGTGTGATTGAAATTTTCAAATTTAATAACTGTTTTATTTTCGCAAATTCAAATCTGGTTACGGGAGCAGTTCGATGATTAACTTTTCTGTGCCGTGCTCTCAATAGGTAATAAATGACATAGTTTGTCGAATTAAACTAGCCGTTTAGAGATAATATTGTCTAAGAAATGTGCACTCTCTCGAGACACGCGCCAAGTGTAAAACTCAAATATGAAGTGGACAGGTATATCTCCTCGTCGCGGAAACATGCAACCGCCGTGTACTTCACGTGGCATGAATGACAATCAGCTGATTTCTGTCAGATGACGCCCAGGTTTAGCGCGTGAGGTGAATTTCAGCCCAGAGTCTGTGTCGTCGGCCCCAAATTTGTATTCATACGTTGACAGACGTTGTATCCGAAACATTCGTGCTCGCACTTCCCCTATTCAGCCTCTGGCGGAGCAGGCAGACAAGATGAGCGCGAAAAAGTTTATTTCGAAATAATTAGGGAATACGTGTTTAGCAGAAAAAGATGCCCCAATAGGAGCCCCTCGGTATTGTGTCACACTCTGAAAGCTTTTTGCGCCGCAGACGTGCGACTGTTATTTTCTCAATTTCGATACATCTCGTTACGGGCGCACAACAATATCGGCGATGGAGATTATGAATATATTACCGCATGATTTATGTTTCACCTAATAAATCATCTATGTAGTTATGTGGTTTCGTCGACTCAACTAATTAACTTTAAATCGAGGTTGCCGGATAATTATCAATCTGCCCGTAAGTGTAACAGAGTCATTAACGATTGTGGTGTGTGCTCTCGTATTGGTGTTAATGACAGAACGTCTCTACATCTTGGCTTATGGTTTTGTGTATATAGATTTTAATGATTTATATACAAAAGTTGTTTCTCTACGAATCGTGCGTTGTAAGTTGCGGCGCGCGGCATGTTCGCTTGTGTGATAGTGCGCCATACGTAATGTGTCACGTCGGATCCTTGGAACGTGCGGACAGCAGTTTCTTTGTTTCCGGGTCTTGGTGCACATCCGATAGTAGTAGTAATAGTATACGTATATGTAAAGGGAAAGGACGTCAGCCTTATTTGGTTGGATAGCGTCAGCGCATTGGTTTGTCCTTGCAATTGTTGCGTTGATAAACGACATGACGTCGATATAATATTGCATGAACGGTAATGAGCACCTGAAGTCACGATTTTATACATTCAAACATGCGGGCAGGATATATGTATATATTTATATCACATATTGAGCATTGCTCGTAAGTAATGATTTCCATCGTCTTGTTACAGACCAAGAAAAATAATCCCAACCACATCAAGCGGCCCATGAATGCGTTCATGGTTTGGTCTCAAATCGAGCGCAGAAAGATCTGCGAAACACAACCAGACATGCATAATGCTGAGATTTCAAAACGTCTGGGTCGCCTCTGGAGGCAACTGAACGAAGAGCAGCGGAAGCCATTCATCGGCGAAGCCGATCGCTTGCGCCAACTCCATCAGAAGGAGTATCCAGATTATAAATACCGTCCGAGGAAGAAGACCACCAAGCCGATGCCTAAAGCCACCGGCCCGTCACCGAAGAAAGCCAAGCTGGCCAAGGCTCCTACAAAGGTTCAGCAACAACAACAGCAGTCGCAACAGGTCAAACTTGGAAACGATAGTAATAACAACAACAGTATGTTGACTAAGGATAAAATCTTCGCGACGGTCACAAAGCGCCCGGCACAGTCGGAAGTAACGTCGAAGCTTAAAAACAGATTAACCAAAACGCCGCTGCCGCTACCGTCGACGACGACGTATATGACCTCGCTGCCGCCGGTCAATTTCCTGCACGCGCCTGCAAAGGTCCCGTCCAGTCCATCGTGCGATACACCCGACTCTCCTGAGAGCGCCTCCTTCTATGATGACACCCTGTTGATGGATACCAGCGACACGCAACAACTGCAGTCGTTCGTCAAGGAAGAACCGGAGGACTCGATGCTCGACACGACCACTCTGGACGACCTGGACACGCTCACTGATCTCATTCAAATCAACGACACCAACTTCAACTTTGAGGCGCTCGCCAGCCTTACGGGCGACTCACTGGAAGTGGACTCCGACACCTCGTCGCATCTGGACTTCTCCTGCACGCCGGACGTCACCGCGCTGCTGAACGGAGCGTACCAGATTCCCCTCGAGCTGCCTTGAGTCGCCCAGTGGATGAGAGTCGAAGACTGCTGCTGCGCGAACCGAACTGACTTAAAATAAATGTGCGCGTGTACAGCGGTGTGTGTATATATTGAAACGAGTTTTGTCATGCACATGCACTTCGTCGGGTCTATGTATGAAGTCGCGTCGCGTCCAGTGCGCCCGACCGGAGCTCAAGCAGAAAACCAATCAACCTACCGTTCGTTATATATAAATATATATAATAAATATATTAGTATTTGATAGCAAAACTGCGCAAACTACGAGAGACCACACTTGGGCATGACTACAATAATGATACATCCCCTCTTTACATGCGTCATTTTCACCCAAATTTACGATGATCTCATTTTGTGTGTTTTTATTTTATTTTTATATTTATCATTAATTACTCAACATAATACTATATAACCGGAAAAACTAACGCAAAAGTTTTCTGCTATCATTGCGAACCACCGAACATGACGAGCTTAGAATTTGGATTGTCTTGTACATAGCGGCGAGCTATTTGAAACAAATAAGGAGTACACTATTATAAGATTCCCGGATTTAACCACTTGTTAGTGCCTAGCTCAGTTCGATATGTCGACCCGGGGACGTGTAGAGGAACGCCGGGCCTTAGTTTCGACACATCTGACCTTGCCAGAAACGGCGGGACACAAAATCAGGCTGTGATTCATCATTTCGATGACCAATATTTTAGTTATCAAAAGAGGAAAAAAATATAAAAGTCCGTCTTTTAATTATATAACAAAAAATTTCACCCAGCTAATAATTTTTTGTCCGGTTTAGCACGGTATACATACATTAATCGCATACACACACTTCGATTCGAATGGCGAGAATCTGAGGTATTATGTTTTTGTTTTTTATTTGTCTATTTAAGTTTTGTGTAATTACGATTATATAGAGAATCTTGCGTTCGTCCAGAAGTACTTAAGTAGAAATTGATTTCTAAGTCTATAGGGCATCGATATTCAGAGTCATTAGAGAGAAGTTGATTGAATGAAGAAAAACATGCGGTGGCACATCCAGGAGCGTACGAACTTTGACAATATAATTGCAAAATGTTTATATAGCGCTAATACGTACTGCTTTATTTTGCAAATCCCAGAAATACCACACAATCGACATTATTTTGGTTTCAAAGATTGGAAAGCGTAGGAAGTCGCAGGCGCTCTTTTTATATCTTATACGTTGTTATGCACATGATTATTAATTATTCATCTTTTATATAAGTATATTATTTATATTATCTAAAAGTATATGTTAACTAATTCGATTATTAAAATATAATATATATACTATATATATTATATCTATTACACGATAATTATTACGCTTAAAAACGTGTTTGGTTTTAATTCTCATGTTTTTACACACACTTTGTTCCGACTCGGTTCGTTTCGTAGGATATGCGTATAGAAACGACATAGATATATGATATCTAAATGTATTCAAGTCAATGCACAAACAAAACAAGTCGGGAGTAATATCCAAGGGATAACAAACAAAACAGTAAGAAACAAAAATTGATGGCAAAAATATAGAATTAACACACATTCACGCGTGCGCGCATACACACATATAGTCGCGTGGTGCCGATTTTTTGACATTTACCTACAACTAGCGAGTAGTTGCGAAGCCACATCGATATTCTTATATGTTGAAGATAAGAATAAAATAATAATGATAAAGATATACACTAAGGGATTACAAAAATAAAATAAAAAAATAATGAGACGTGCATTCAGCGTCCTACGTGTGCTTTCAATGTAGTAGATTATAACTTTATATATATTACGGTAATATTAAAGTTAGATCGGACTGTCCGTATATAATAAGAGTTTTCGAATTTTAAAATTTTATGAGGCCTGGTACAGTATGAAATGAAGACGACGAGTACGATGATGATGGTGTTGCGAGAACGAGCGCGATAGTCGGAGGATAAATGACGCGGAAAATTGTAGAATAACATATTCGGTGTATTTTTGTACCCAATGTTTGTTTTCCCGGCGTGTGTGCAGAGTTTCGCGTTTGGACGAGAGCATGTTGCTGACTGACTTAGACGTATAGGAATCCTTTGATTTGAGCCGCACTGTGCTTATCAGTCGATAATAATTGTTCTATTTTAATTTGCTCCATTTTAGTTCAACATCACCTCGTACCGTTACTCTACTCACACGCTACGCGGATTGTATATAATTGTATAAATTTGCTCATGTAAAGATTGTTTTTGTTAAATTCTGATGTTTACGCAATCAGTTTTTCATTACATTATTAATTAGAGATAATGCAATTAATTATGCGACAAACAACATACAACCACCACTAAACTATATATGCATTATATTGATGTGGAAAAACCAAAAACCGAGGAACGAGACGAGCGAGAGCAGTTTATTGAATTTTTCGGCTTCAAACCCTACGAGGCTATATAGTTGAAAGCGGGTTCGTTCTGGAGATCCTTTCCTTGAACCGGGGCAACGGTTTGTGATTTTGAGTTAGCCCCTTGGGAAACGGACCTCTCCGGCGATTGCCGCTCAATATAAGCAAACACTCACCCATACACCCATACATACACACACACTACATGAATATTACAATAATTCAATCTGCAATCAGTGACGAAAGCGGGCGCATCAATGGCGCGCAATGTTCCAGTTGATCTCTTAAATCGATTACAAAATCGCCCTTATCTCTTAACGCGCATTGTTAACTTTAATTCTGACAAACGATTAAAAAATTAAGGAAAAACGAAAACCAATTAAAATTAAAACAAAGAAAGCAAAAGAAAATAATTCAAGAGAGATATAAAGTTAGCAATATTTTTGCATATAACCTTGATGTATCATAATTCCCTTGCATTTGTAAATCCTTTGTATTATATTCATATACTATATATATATAAATATATAAATATATTACGTTATTACTTATAGTGTGTAAATTTTGTATTGTAGTTGCTGGTTATAAATACATATTATATGGCCAATAAACAGATTTTTTAAAATTGAACTAATAAACGAATCGCCTCGGACACCCACGTTATGTTTTAATCGTTACAGGTTGGTGCTGAGGTCGAGACTGCAAGTGTCCCTGGGTTCGGTCGTAAAATGGGCGAACTTGTTCAATTAAGGGTGCATTAAAAAAGAAGTGGTCTTCCAAGGATCTGGCTTAAAATATTGCCCAATGCCAGCATCTTACTGCTGGCATAGCCAAAAAAGCAGCAGCAGCAGAGTCGTTAAAATTCAACTATACTTGACAAGTCGTAGGGGGAACCATAAAACCGAACCCGGTCGCGAATCCTTCAAATGGCTTTCGCTAGTTTCCTGCCGGAAATAAATCGACGCGTCGACCTAGAAGTTTTCGTGTGCGTAAGTTTTAAACCGTAGCCGCACTAAGCAACAAGCAGTGTAAAATATTGAAGCGTTCCCCAAAATATCTCCTCGTCGTCTAGAGACGTCTACCACTACACAGATAACGAGAAAACCGAAGAAAAACAAATTGAAGGCAGGTAAGGCTGGTTGGCAGTTAATGAAATAAGGAAAAGAATTAATACCAATCACCTCGCATGTGATGAATTCAACTAATGTGTGTTGGCCGGTTGCATTTATGCGTGCAGCAAGTAAATCGCGTGTTACATTTTCGTAAAACATGCACATTAAAAATTGCAAAGCGCACGCTCGCCGCGTTCAACACGTTGTGCATCCAACAATCCCACACATCCTTGCAACATTTATTTTCGTTCAGGTGGCACGCAGTGCAACAATAAGATACATACAAAGCGCAGCTTGTAATAGGATCCTGTTTTCTGATCGTTCTTATTGCATTTATCATACAATTTCATGTGGGTGCACATTTAATTGAAATTAATTTCGCCAGAAACGAATATTCAGCACGCCATAAAAATAAAACTGATGCTTCCATGTAATTTGCTGCCTGGTGCTGGTTTGTTCACTATTGCACGTCACTTTTTAGAGCAGAGCAGCCCTGACGACATGCAAATTTATCGTGCACCCTCAAAAAACTTCCGCTACTTAATGTAAATTCATAACTTCAGTTGAGTCATTTCGACTATAAACGTACAGAAATAGTATTATTTAGCTTCAGACACGAATAGGTCAAATCTCTTTTTTCTGTTTAGTAAAAGAAAATTTATTTAAAAATGTAATTGAATTACCTACGTTTGTTTATTACTCATACACAGTTCTTGACTCATAAACGTTCCAGTTGACTTGCATTGCAATCGAAACATTGCTGGAAATGAAAAAAAAAGTAAAATGCATAATGTCCACGCATTAAGTGCATTTATTTGCGCATGGTTTGATTGTGCAATTGCATAAGCTTTGTAAGTACGCTATTACAATAAAACACGTCGGGGGCTATAAAATTTAACGCGATCTTAGGAGGCGTTTATACAGGACGAGAGGTAAACCTGTACGTGAATTTGCATATAAATTTCGTATGTGTGAAATACGAGTGTTACTTGTAAGCGGATTTGTTTGTCGGTTGCCACTTATAATTAAAATTTTAATGAAATTCAACTCTGACGCAAAATGACATATTGGCGCGATGGTGCCGTGGATGATGACAATGATGATGAAGAATTGGGTAGAAGTGTGAATTTAGGTACGAAATTGCTTTTAGAAATTTAACTTCTGTTGGATTTGGGCCGTGATTCTGGACATATACGAATGTCTCAACTTTTCCGTGTAAACCACTAAAAATTGAACACCTGGTGCGCGCACGACATGCGGACTTAACTGTTACTAAACATGGCATAGTCGTGTACGAAGGCTTGGGCGAAGACAGAAGACTGAAGAAAATAAGGTGGGCCAATGATAGCGTGATCGGCTGCATCGGGGCCTCACACGCAGAACACAACCGGCGGACGACGCGACCGACGCAATCACAGCCGATAGATCGTTAGATTATTGCGCTCAACGTTTTCTCACGAATTTTTCCACAGACTATATACTACGCGCGTAAACAACTATCGTGAAAAGCTTAAAGAACTTGACCTCAATTGCGAAATCGGAAATCGTTCATGTTGATGATTCATACACACCAATGAGATGGATTAGGAAGGGGTGCAGTGTGCGTTGCACACAAGATAACACTCTGAAATGAGGAAGACTAAGCATTCCAATGAGCAAGCGACATGATTGATCGAATTTGGGACGTGTATGTTTTTCAATGGCCAAGCGTTTCAGTTCGCCTGACTTCAGCTCTCCGCTCGGTCAGTGTTCGCATTCTGGATTGGGCAAGTGTAAATCGTTTGCATGGTACGCACCGCACTTAATTTGTTGTTGTTTGAGATTCCGGCTCGGCGCAGTGCTCGAAGTTGGTTTGTTGTTACAGTCAAATGTTTATGTTTGAAGTGTACCTAAGTCAATGGTCTCTGGATGGATGTGAACTATTCTGATAGTCTAGACTCGGCGCGTGTTCCGGCTCCGCCATGCTATTAGCCTATGCCTTTCATTCAAGTTTGCCAATATACTTTACGGCCTTACGTGGCCTATAAAAGCGATCTGATTGGACTGAAAGAGTTTAACAGGGTTGCGTCGTTTTTTTGATACAAATGAAAATTGTGATTTGTTGTAGATGCAAGAAGACATATTAGCATAATGGTCAATTAGATTCGGACTGTAGTGTCCGATTATGAATATGCATCTAATCCTGGGTGTGCGCGCTGGTCCCTAACGCACAAGTTAACCGTAGAGTTTATGTGCTGCTGGCGGTGACTCTAGTTCTGATTTTGAAATGCAAATTTGGGCGTCTATATGCGTGCAGTTGAATTGTTTCGTTCGCCGTGGGCTATAGCGGATTTCAGTGACGAGCTGTCACTGACGGTTGAGAGCCTTCTGCTGCGCTATCCGTCAGTACAGATAAATAGGATGCGAGGAGTTTTTTTTGTTCATGGTCGACCACTTCGATAAATCTAACCCACCTAACATTGTTCTAATACCAGCAGATTTTCCTTTATCCATGAACATGCATTGTCAATAAATGATATCAATTTGTCATTTCGGACACAAGTTCAATTAAATTAAATAATTAAGAGAATGGGGTTGTTGATAGTTTTGTTTTGTCCACACAAATGTCGCACAATTAATATTTCAACCACGAATATCCTCTGAGCGTCCTTCGTGTAATATTCTATAAATATTTCATTATATCTATGTTTTATAGCACTCGTATATCAAAAAATAATTAAATTCCTAAAAGGTTAGTGCCACGAGGTCGTAATGACGCTGTAAAGATTTAATTGTGATTTTGAAAATGTAAAGAATTACAGAAACACACATGCATTGAACATTGCAACCCTTGTCTAAGGCGCGTTTCGTTATAGTTGTAACCGGGAAAGAGTTTCCCGCTTGGGGTATATTTCTGCTACGTGCCCGGAAAACCAAGCACACTTTTAATATGTATTGCATGCAAAGAATAAACCAAGTTTTTCGCTCGTTTAGCCTCTGAAATCCGAGATACAAAATTGGTGCAGTTATACAAACACTAAAACGAAATGAAGTGAAAAAGAAGCGCGCTCGTGTGTTGTAGTCAGAATTTTTTTTTAGGAAAACTGGTCTAGTAAAACTGGTCTTACACACAGCTCGTAAAGTTTCAAGTTAATAGGCAATCAAGTAACAACTTATGCGTCTTACATTAATTTTTTTATTGCCACGAATATAAACAAACACAGATATAATGGCTAATTGATTTTTACAGGCGGAAATGTTGTGACTGTGATCGTACCAAATAAATGTCACGTTGAACGGCGCATGTTTTTTAAACCAGTGCGCCGCAGAGTCGCAAATATTTACTGATTAAATGTGTGAACACAGCGTTAGACGAAAGATAACTTTACGATCGCGGCGCATTTTCGAAATCCTTCCTGCTTGACTTGGAAAATAAACAAAAACCAAGAACGTTTACACAACAAGACGTCGCTACCTCGACCATGATGGTGCAGTCGCGTAAAAAAGCTCGTATAAAATAGCGTAGTGATCTATCATTTCGTGTGTTTTCTTTCGTTTTCGGATAGCGCGCGTATGCGTATATGCATTTACTGCTTCGCAGAAGGACCATAATTCATATATAATTTTATAACGTGCGTCTGTATTTCCTGTGATTTAACCGAAACGAAAAGCAAATCAAATAGCTGCAGCAATCATCATTAAGCAAAGGCTAGTGGCAGTCGCGCAGCAATTCCACTTCTGAACGCGCGAGGATTTATTTCCACGTTCCTTCCACGCACATGGAATCAAGGTGCACACGGCATCAAAACGTGTGCGGCTGAGTGTTGTGTGCGTTCAAGCACCACAGATGTGTATTTAACTCCACAATGCATGTATTTGATCAATAATTTATTTTTGTCAGGTGTAACCTTAGTACGGCCCACTTCAAATATGAAATGTGTGTAACTGTCTCTGCTTCAAGTGACTTAAGCATGATTGCTAGAGTATATCCTAACCTAATTTCAGGTGCATTAAGACCCCAATATTAAATGAACATTAACATGCGAGAATTGGAATGAACCAAATTTATCACAATTTTCGGGAAACCATCGCACCCATCTAATTCAAAGTTTTTGGTCTTGTTAGTTAAGATAATGAACATTAATGGGTCGGATGGATGTATCCACAATTTGTTGCTGTTTTGGTTATAAACCAACAAGTTTGCATCTACGAACATTCTATGTTGCTGTAGAATTACCATTTTGTGAACTGCACTGACAGACTAATTACAAACTTGAGGTTATGTCTATTAAAGTATGCACGTTTAAAGTGTGTAGATAATTATTATGAATCACACTAGTTTACATATTAAATGATACTTTAGATAAGAGATGCTATGCTACGCTGTCAAACGATACCACCAGCAAATCTATATATATAAAATTTGCGTGTCACAGTGTTTGTTTCCATACTCCTCCGAAACGGCTTTACCGATTTTTACCAAATTTTATATGCGTATTCAGTAGGTCTGAGAATCGGCT